TACTATATATATATATATATATATATATATATATATATAGTAGGGTGGCCGATTCCGCAGAGGTGGCCTTGAAATGACGGGTGTTTCCCGGCACACAAAATAGTAGTTTCGAAGTTTTTGGCATGACTGCCGAACATTGGTTTCACTTCAAAAAACTTGCAAAGGTCCCCCCGTCTTACTGAAATGCGCGCGTGCGTAACTAGCCACCTTTTTGGGGTTTTCATCACCACATATTCATTTCTTTGATCTTTCAAATCATAAAGCTACTGTAGATTTTAAGGTGATACGTTGTGAATTCGTTTTGTTGAACACCGAATTTTGATAGCTTACATGGTATTTTAATATTATAGCTTACGTGGCGCACGCGCTCATGAAGAAGAGGAGTGGTTCCATGGTCTACTACCACGCGAGGACATTAATAGGTGAAAGCTTTCTTTCAATAAAGCTTCAGTTTATATGTGTAATATCGAACACATTTGAGGTTGCTTATCCACGACGGCGATTATTTAGTGAGAGTTTCGGAACCAGAACCTGGAATGGTGAGAACAATGAACTCTGTTATTCTGCTCAAAAATAAAGAACTTAGTACGTGAAACTCTTAAACGATTTGCTAAACACACTTTCCTAATCTCTCTTCCACTAGCCCAACCATTGAAATCTGAATAGCAATCAAGTACCACTAAAAAAGCGCATTGTTCATGCATGTGAAGTTCTATGTATCTTCTTGACACCATCTACCTTTATCACTATCTGACTTTGAGTTCATCAATAGTTCATCCAGTCGAAGCTGAAAAATGGCAGCATTATAACCACTTGGGAGGCCATGGTGATGTAGAAAACAAAGCTTCTGTACATATTAATGAATTTGTTTTCGACTCTGATTCAAGATATCGAAGATAATATCTGTTCTGATTGATCGAGTCATTAATGGTTTGAAAAATTCTTCAGCTATCTTCTCCATCTTTACAGGGAATGAAAACAGTTTTATCGGCACGGTGGAAAGACAAAAATCATCATTTTGTTGTTAATGAGAAAGACGGTGAGAGCTGTCCTTATTACCATTTCCGACGAGAGGATAGTAAAAATTGAATGTCGGACTTTGCTTGATTTCAAGTCAAAAAGCCGACCCCTCGAAAGATTCTGCAAGCACTTTGAACGAGGGCGCTTCGAGTTATACATGTAGGTGACCGTGCTTTTGTTTTTTTGAATGCATACAGCTTCGCTACAATCTCGCTGGAACATCCAACGAGAGTGCACCCGCATTAAGCGTAGTGATTAGTTATCAGAATAGCTTTAGTGAAGAGCTTGTGGCGAAAACTACGTTCCTGAAATAAATGATCCAAATTTCGTTCCAGAAGAAAGCATCAGAATTGTATTGCAGGAAAAGTTTTTATTGAAAAAGAAAAATTTCCGAACGTTTTGGACATGATAGAATACTATGTGCGAGAACAAAAACCAGTCACCGAATCCACAGGAGCCGTACTTATAACACCGATACCAAAACAAGATTGGGAGTTCAAGCATGAATGGGTATCACTTTTTTGTTTCCACAAAATGGATATTTCAGCAGCAGTGAAGCACCTTTAAAGTGCACAGCATCCGCGCAAGCATCAGATCACGCTGAGAACGTGACATCATTTCTTTTCTTCGCTTTTTCCTTGGAGTAGGCATGTTCGAAGTTATCTCCTTTAAATGGTCAAGATGCCATTGAATAGAGCTGAACGAGCTATGCAGAGGTGTTCTCGAAAATCCGAGAGGGAGTCATTCTAGAATAGCTTGATTCACGGTAATCCAACATCGAAGGGGTAATTGGTCTAAGTTGAATTGAAGCGATAAATGACCCCTGACTACATCCAGTACAATGCAAATATTCTGTAGCCGAATTGACTACACGCAGCCAAGTGCAATTTCACAATGATGCGTAAGTTCCTTTCCCCGACTTTTTTGTGAATCGCAGACCAGCCTGAAGAATAGAGGTGTGCACGATCACCATCCACCGCTCGACGCCACGATCAAGCAGCTTGTTTCCATCCTTCTAGAAGGACGGGCTAGGACTTGCAGTCGTCGAGCCCCTTCCTGACCTCATCCTCTGTGACAAAGTTGTGAAAATTGTGCGGCATTGCGACCTTCAAATACCGGGTGGGCGAGTGATAGCTTCACTTTTGCACGCTTTTTGATTCTTTAGAACAAATTCTCGTGGACACTACAGGGTGTGATAGAAGAGCATTATGCAAACGTGATGGCGAAATACCAACATCCACGCAAACAAAAACACGGAGGAAAAAACATATGCATCAACCTAATACACGGCTGCAATGCACGCTTTTTGATTCTTTAGAACAAATTCTCGTGGACACTACATATTTTTTGGATACTGTTGTCAAAGAACCAACATATACAGCTCAATAAGATGAGCGCAATGGCCTACCCAACTTTCGAAAATTTTACTTTGAACCGAGCTATCACAAGAGCACGAGTCGCCTTTCCAAGTTCATTAAATAAGCAAACGGTCAATAATGTAATTTAAGATTCCTTGCGGCTGAGCTGTGTAAGATTGAAGGGTCTAGACACAAAAACTTCTTTCAGATCGAACTGGGTCAGAAACTTGGAGAAGGAGCATTTGGAGGCGTATATGCAGGGATCCTTACTCTAGACAATAAAAAATATGAGGTAGGTCTTGAGTGGTTCGTAAGAACTTGGAGAATACAGCACTTATAACAGTTTGTCATTTGCTATGTCAACTTCATCATTCTGCCAGACCTCCATGAGTATGAAGACGGGCGCAATCATTCATTCGCCTACTAAGCATGCCCACAGATCTGTCGCGATCCCGATGTGTGCACTCAACTCCCTGACGTATTGAGGCTGTTCCAAATATTCGGGTCAAATATTGTCACGAAGTGTTGGCTGCAATATCTGTGGTGGACAGTTTTCCCACCATTCCTTCAAATCCCTACCTATATTCCACTACAGACGCGAAATAATAGCTGCCGAATACGGTGCAAGGTCAGACGGGTGAGTATATTGCTGGAAGTTCCCATATACGAATTATTCTGAAGAGCATAAGCATATATGTTCACTGCTCGTTTTATGTGTTGAGTCGATTCGTACCTTGTCTCCTTGAAGATATGTCTGTGCGCCTGTGTGTGAAAAACCTTTGGGTGTTGTTGGCATCCTGCACATGTTCTCGGCCACAATCTTGCATTTGAGTGACTGGGAGGTATCCGGGAAATTTTGGGGCTGCTCCATTCTGGAACAGCTTGGCTAACTATCCGGAGTCTGCTCAACGCAGAGCCTGGCATGCTATTCATGGATCCATATGCCAAAACAGCAATACAAGAAGAACTCAGTCCATAGAATCGAGGGAGCCCTAAACTGGCAGCGCTGGGTAGGAGGCTGGGGAGAGGCTGCTAAAGTGTCAAGGCTATAACGGGCCGTCCAAAAGAAGAGCTAA